GGAACTTCAGGTGCCCTAAACTTGACATCAAAGATGGTTGCTTCCTGCTTTAACAATAGCTGACAGTATAATCAGCTCAGATGTAACGCCCTTCTCAGCCCCGATGTTGGTCTTCCAAAGTAAATGAAAAGTATCTCAGTCTGTGCAGCCATTTCAAGTGACACAAGCTTCAGAACCATCAACTACTTTGAAGCAAGTCCAAACTAGCAAAGCGTGTCTTTAAAATTATAAATTATAATCATTACTTTACTTTTACAACATAAACTCAAAATCACAAATTAAAAAAGATGTTGAATTTAAAAAAAAAGATGAGTGAGGCTTTTTTGTCCTTAAAGAGAGACTAAAGTTTAAAAGGTCTGCAACTCAGAAAAGTAGAAAGAGCTCTGTACACACACATACACACACCCATACTATGCCACACACACCTACACATTAAGTGAGAGGAGAGGCTGATCAAGCACTGATCAGGCACCTGATCCTCGATCTATACGGACCACTGTCTCATTTCCATTTAAATTAAAGATAGCCAAAGTTGGCAGGACGATACAAACTGATGATGATGAAGAAGAACTAAAACTTTTTGTCCAATAAAAGCTGCAAAATGAGCTCTTTTGATCAATAATAGTTAGCTTTTTGTTCCATTCAATTAGACGTTTGCCATGAATACAAGATGAGTTTTCTTCAGTTTGAGGAAAGGCTGAGAGCAGAGCAGAGCAACCTTTAAAGCAGAGGCGAAAGATGGAAAAACAGAACAAAGTTATTACTGCAGAGATTCCTGATACATTATCTCTAAGTGAGGGGGGAGGGCTGCGCTGCACTTTCTGAAATTAATTTACAGAATGTTTTTGCAATTTGTTCAGCAATGCTATTACACCCCGAGAGCAAAATTATTAAATTATTAAGCTGAAAATTAGGAATTTATCCATCCATCTATTGTTGCAGCCTGACCGCATCCAGGTCACAGCAACCCATTAGATATTTTATCACACAGAGGTCCAAACTACTATTTTTGTTCATTTCAGACTCAGAAGCAGACAGATTTATCTTACCCAGAGGGTCAGTTTAATTCAACAGGGCTGCTGGCCTGGTGGTCCAAGTGTGTCCCCCATATACCAAGGTTATGTCTCATGTGGACGACATGTTACTCTGTACACTCTCTCCTCATTTCCTGCTCTGTCGAATGTCCTATCCTTCTCAAATAAAAAAGCCCAAAAGAAAAGAAAGATAGTCAACAGATCAGTGAATGGGTTTAATGACGGCATGTGCAAGTTTAAAAGATGCTGACTCGGCTTTAAATGGACCGAGAAACAGGCTGCCTTTCAGCATCACAAGAAATGCATCCAGCAGTTTGTCGACTCAGCCATGCCTTGCTTTATGCAAATTTATGTAAAACTCACCTTTAATAAATTAAAAATGGACCCTTTTATAAACAAATTCACTCCCAGTACGATGCACCAATAAAAAAAGGAGCTACACACCAATAAACATGTGCAGCACCATCAGAAATGTAAATGACAGACTTTGCTTTCTGGTCTTACTGCACTGATTCACAAAGTACCAGATGTCCCAGGTTATACTAAACCCAAGTAAGCAGTACTAAAGTATAGAGCTGTAAAGTCCGAGTTGACTGGTCGACTCATTGGTTGATGCGTGCTGAGTCGACCAAAATTCTGATTGGTTGACTCCTTTTTTTTTCACGTCAATTTACAGACTACAGTTGATTGCTACATTCAAGTTAGAAGTCCGAGCTGGGAATGACGTCACACCCGAGTTACCAGCATTGGAAAAAAGCAAAATTGGAGGCAGAAACAAGATGGCTACATCTATGAAAGCGCTTGTTCGAATATAAGCAGAGACAAGGCAAGTGCTAAAATAAACTTCGTAAATGTAGCCATCTTGTTGGTATCTTGGTAACTGAAATGCTGGTAACGCGTGTGTGACGTCATTCCCAGCTCTGACTTCCGAGGTAACTCGAACGCAACAAATTTCATCAGGAGGAACATACCAAGTGCTAATGAGGGAGTTTTCAGAGCACCACCGTTTCACAGGTAACAGCTTGTCTCAGAACACCCCCCTTGTTTTCACTATTTTGGATTCACCCAACCGACTGGAGACCGTCTGGAGACAGGAAGATTGAAGAGCGTCCATGTTAATCAACGTCCAATGGTTTGCAGAATATTTTATTTTATTTTAAAAATTTCGACTTGCCTATTCTGTTTGATTGCCTTCTTCTACTGATACCAGTATATTTTCACCGCAGACGGGTTCGCCGTCAGTCAGAAACCCCCCTGATTTGTCGACTTTTGGTGGAAAATTTCAGGGTTTTAATCGGCAAGAATTTCTTTGGTTGATTACAGCCAGACTAAAGTGAATGTTTTAACATGGGACCTCATGGGTGTTTGCTGCCAGCTTTAAGGGGACATCGGACAGCATTTATTTTGCACTTTTGCATTAATTTCATTGTCAACGATGCAGATAGAAATAAAACGTACAAGACGCAGGCAAAGGGACACTTCACCGTGGCTCTCCGTTTAACACTAACAGCTTTACAGAGAAGTTGGTATCTTTTCCCAGAGGCATATATCTTCATCAGACCACGATAAGTCATGGATAACACAGCTTGGTAGTTGTTACAGTCTATTATTAGTGATTCCATACAGGATGCAATAATAATGCACCTGACGTGTTTGTGTTTTATATCTTTGATGTAAATCTCTACGGGCTTCACATGTTTTTTCTTTGTTCATACTGGTACACTCCTTTTTTCCCCTTGCTCTCTTTATCAGCGGTGAAACTGAAGATCTCCAACGCTCTTCTCTTGTATAATGAATCATCATCACATATCTCCTGTAAGCGGGAATCTGCTGCAAGCATTCCTGTCATACCTCGCCTGTGTGCTGTCAGGAGGAAAAGAGAAAGAATGCGTCAAATTAAGAGCGTGCAAGCCGACAGAAAATTTGCTCCACATACATAGTAGAATAGTATTTGTGTTATCTCGCCAAGAATGCTCTAATATATCTGGAAACTGAAGAAAAATATCTGCAATTGTCCAACACAGCTCTCTGCAAGGCCGAATCCAGTGACCCGATCAAAATATGAAACTAAATTGAAAAGTAGTCAGTGGCGCCTGAATGGATTAAAATTAGAGAGAGCCACAAACCAATCTGACAACAGAGCATGTGAGCAGCAGCTGGTGCACTCGGAGCGAATCTTTATTCATGAATGGGCGGTGAATGTACAAACTCTCCCTCTCTCGAACACACACACACAACCTGTCACACGTCCTCCTCGTACCCAGAATCAGAAAGTCAGATTAATTTTTTCAGGCAATAACTTTTCAGAGCTTCACTGTTGTTTTAATCTTTTCAATGTCAGCACCTGTGACATTAACACAAAAAACAACTTATCAACAGCCTCCGTGACCCGCCTCCTCCCTCTCCTGGCTCACAAAGGGAGCCACAGACACACACACAGACCGCAGATGGGATGTAAATTTCTGCCCGTCTGCTGGGCGGTGGCGTGGTGGTGGTGGTGATGGTGATGAAATATGGGCTTTCTCTTTCCAGGGAGAGCAAAAGCCAGACTGCTACACGCGCCGGGAGAGACAGACAACAGTGAGCTTTGTATCTGCGGGATCACAAAGCGTTCGATGAATGGGGAAAGTTTTGGGACAATATTAATGAGCTGTATCGAGCAAGTCTGCACAACACTGGTGCTTAAAGAGTTTGATTAAATGGACCTCTTGATGCCAGAATCAATTTTAACCTTTTTTTCCCACTTTCCCTCCTTCTAGTTCCCCTTGAAATCAGATATCCTTCTACTTTACAAAGCAGAGATAAAGTCCTTTGCCACCGAGGGTTTAGATATTTACACTCCTCATCTTTGAGTTTGACTTGTAAAGCTAACAAGCTACTAAAGAGGTTAGAAATACACACTCATTTCCTGTATTTACCTAACAAATGTGGATTTGTGTGTGTTTGCATGCATTTGCCTGACACTATCTGCATGTCTCTGTGTGTGTGTGTGCTCATCATTCAGGAGCCAGACTGCAGCTCAGTCACCTTGCCTGCTGTGATGCATGAGACTGTGGCTCATTGAACACAAACAAGGGTAAGAGTTTATGGAGACTTCTGAAAAGGCTTGTGCAAATGTGATTGATAAGATTGTCGGACGAAAGGAAATGAGATGAGTCGCCTAATAACCAATCTTTTTTGTTCCTCTGGGATAATAGCCCTGGCTAGAGGTGATAACCTCATTTTTGACACCAAATTCAACTCCAACAGTGTTTTATTCTGGCAGTCAAAGGTCAAGATCAGAGTGACTTCCTGTCTGTCAAATTCCCAGCACACCTCAGAGAGAAGTAAAAACAACAGACATCTGTTTAGTCTATGGTTTGAATTATTCACAATTTTTAATGGTATTGCCACATTTGGTTCATATCTCCAAGCCTGCAGAAAACATGCAGAAGAACAGGTGATGTAAAGGACCCAAGCCCAACCAGTTCAGCTGAAGCTCATTTCAGACACTTGTATCCACAGTCTCATTCTGTTGGTCACCACCCACAGCTCACAACAATAGACTGTATATACTATGGACAACTTGGCTCTTCCTTCGCCATTATACGAATTTCAAGCCAAATTGCTCTCGGCATTTCCGGGATTTTCTCCATTTCCTGAAACCACCACTTGTGCAGTAGCGTTGTACACATTCGACAGGAGAGTTGCTGTGATGATTCTCAGCTCAAACAGAGTATCCCCCAGGTAAGCTACGCAATCTTTGTACGCCCATAGGCTGTATCAGGTGTCAATCATAGAAAACATGAACCCCCTAATAACTTTTAAAAATTAGAGCTGCACAGAAAAAAGAGGACTTGAGCACAAACCAGTCTTACAGTAACTACATGTCAATATCGCAAGCAGGGGGGAGAAAAATGTATATTCTGTGTTATTAATTTCTAAAGTTTGTCCACAGCTCCATAGGGATTGCTGGAGGGGGTGGGATTTATGACCTATACTGCATTCCGTCACTAGAGGGTGCTGTTCTCGCAGTGGCTTCCCCCAGCGAGGAGGCAGACGGCGTCCATTCTATGTACAGTCTGTGATCAGGGTTCACACTCAGCAATCCACCCCGTCATGTCAGTCAACAATGGCCTTGGACTTGGAGGTGCTGAACTCTTTTATATAATTTAGCTACTTTCGAACAAGTCTGATCCAAACATCAGTGTCAGTGTTAGTCATGACCTGCAGCATGGCTACAGATCTGCTTATTCATGGTCTGTCAAAGTAAGCCAAAGTCAATGTGATGTTTGCTTAAAACAAGATCCATTATCCTTATTTTCAGTGCATTATTTAATCCTCTTTTCTTCACCAGGATGAGATACCGAACCTTCTTTTCTTCATTATGCTAAAATCAGGGTTACTAAGCTGTTTGAGGGATTTGGGCGTCCACTGAGGTATGAAGTGCAAACACTGTCTGGGGTAAGAGATCTTCATTAGTGCCACAGCTGGCACTGCTGCCTGGCATTTACCTGCAATTATTGCAGATATGGATTTTCAACTTTTAGATTAATTTTCATTTATATCCTCAGGTACCTGCGTGAGGTCTGAAGTCCTGGGGTCAAATTCAGAGTCACCAAACACCCAATGATCTCCTCGGCTGTAACACAAAACCAGATTTTCTGTTGCTGTTTCAGGATTCTGGTTTTCTTTTCTGTCTCCCGGGTTTAGCAGCATAATAATAACTTCGCCAACAGAATTGGAGCTTTTGCTGTTTTGTTCCCTGTTTGGCAAAGAAGCATCATTGGTGAGTTTATTTACTTGCCTACTGTTTCCTATAAGCCTTGGTTTTGACTGTGCATTTTTACTGGAATGGATAATTTCCTAAGAGACTCGCATAACCGTGTGTGTGTCTGTCAACAGACAAAAAAAGGGCAAACTCTCCGATATTCACAAAGTAAAGCATCACTGGGTCACTTGAGAGCTCATTTTATGTTTAATCTGTGCCAGCTTCTGGGCAGAGCGGCTCCAAACTCCACTGAGTAAACAAAAAAAATCACACTGTTGCCAATTTTAGGTTTTGAGTGGAAAATTTATGCTGGTATTGTCACCACACCAGTTAGGGTACTAGCAAGTGAACTAAGGGAAACTTAACTTTTTAAAGACTTACGCGGGTGTTTTTAGTCACCTGTTTTAATCAAGGCTTTTTTCACTCCTGAAAATCCAGACCAAGGTTCATGTATACATTTGGTTTGGTCTGTTTAGGTCTCACACTGTCATTATTGCAAATGGATGAACAAACTTTACATGATGAACCTACGTGATATCATCATCAACTACATGCCTTGCGTGTCTCTGTAGTTTACACTGATTGGTCGTAAGGCCAGCGGGCATCTGACATCAACTCGTTGAAAAGCACGGGTTTTGAATGGTGCAAACATGGATGAAATCGCCATTCGCACCATTGTACTATTTCGTATTCTCTACCTCCAACAGCGACAACTTGAAGAGCTGTACATGAGGCTGGTCCGAGGAAGTCTCATGAATTTGAACATTGGACGACAACTTTATCGACATTGACAGAAAAGGAAAAGAAAGTTTGCAATCCTGTGATTCATGGCAACACCGGCCTGGGAGAAAAGTATGTGTAGTGTGTGTAATATTCTAAAATTTCCCGTTATTGGACAATCTCCATCACACACAATAACTGACACTTGTACTCCTAGCGTCATTTCCTGTCTTTGGTACAAAGGTCCAAATGTTTCAAAATAATGCTTTCACACTGGGCATGAACCAGACCGTGATTCAGTTTGGTCCGGACCGAGACCACCTGTTTTGGTTGGACCAAGATCTGGCTGTTTGGTCCAGACCAAGGTCCAGGGGAAGTTTTCACACCTATCATTTTGGGTTCGGACTAAACAGAAAAGTCTGAAAGTCCGGACCAAACGATGTAGGTGTGAAAGCCCTCTAAGTTTCTGCTCAGGTTGAAACTCAGAGACTTTTAAACTCTGGTTAGCAGTTAATACATTTTCTAATAAATGCACACAACCCTAAAATTAAAGGTGCAACTCAAAAATCGAGTTGAAACTGGCCTCACCTCCCACAGCATATGCCCAGCCTAAATTGTCTTACCAGTACACCAAACAGTCCTTTCATGTTAACAAATGCAGCAGATCAGAGAAATTCAATTTCAGAAGATACAAACATGTCTTCAAAGCATTGTTCATCGCTGAAGGAAACCATGAAAGACACGATATCTGCTATGAAAGTGCAGCTCATGACAGTACATCCAGTTCTCTCTTTGCTGAAGTCATGAGTATGCATGTCAGTGTCAACGACGTCTTAGATCTTTCTTTTCAGACGAACTGGAGCAACAATGGCTGAGAGAGATGTCACTGAAGACGTTTATTCAGAGGAAAACAACCCAGAGAACGAGGCATTGTTGTGTGTTTTTGGATGAGGTCCAGAATCAGCCTTGGTCTGGACTACAACACTATTATCTATTTAACTAGCTGTATCCTTCGGGTCTTGATAGAAGTTTGAAGTCAACAGGATACTCGTCAATACAAACTTTATAATTCTTTACAGAATCACAAAGCCTGAGCAGATCTGCAGATCATACTGACATAATCCTGTTTGAACATGTCTCCATATACGTACTCTTAGCTGTAGGAAATGCCTCTCTCTGCCCTTATTTCTACTACTTTGATCATTTATGGCAAAGATCCAATGGTGCCTCATAACATCATGTCTCTTCTGATATCATGCAGAATTCCCAAATAACTTTTTTGTTCTGTATTGAATCAAAGTCCCTTTTCATCAATAGAGCTACCTTTTTTCATCTCAGTCTCTTTTCGCTCTACCTTCTTTCTGGTACGAACCTGCACCCCTCTCCCATTACTTTCCATTTGCTTGTGCTGATTCTCCTCTGAATGCATTTGTTTTAATACAACTTCAACACAAATACATGGTGCTCCATTGACTACCTTCACCGTTCATGTGGCTTTGCTTATGTTTTGCATGGCACACACACTACAGCATCATCTCCAGGTAAAGAAGATATCCCAGAAAAAACAGTGGTTGCACCTTTAGCAGTAAAAGCCAAAATGATCATTATCACAATGAAGCTCTACCTTTATTAAAATTAGAGATAAGACCTGTGTTCTGAAATTCTGTCGTTATTTTAATATGTTTATTAATTTTGAGTAGACTTTTATTTTGAAATGTGAAAGTAGGTATGACCAGCTCATACATGAGTATTTAGTATCATCAATGAGCAGCCCAGTAGATGTTGCTTTCATTGAGCGCAAATTGTAGTGTACCTGAGTTCAGTGATGGGAAGTTGGACTCTGTTCAGAGAGTGGGCTCTTTTGGCTCAACTCCCAAAGACAAGTCGGATCTTTCCACTCCTGAACATCTCTTAATTTAGGATCTTTTGTTGCCCCATGTTTTAGTATCCTAGAGTTTCGTGATGGGGAGTTCGTCTTTGTTCAGAGAGTCAACTCTTTTGACTCAACTCCCAAAGAAGAGTTGGTTCTTTCGTCTCCTAAACAACTCTTAATTTAGGATCTTTTTTAGCCCTCTGTTTTAGTATCCTAGAGTTCAGTGATGAGAAGTTCAGCTCTGTTCAGATAGTCAGCTCTTTTGGCTCAGCTGCCAAAAAAGAGGCGGCTCTTTCGACCCCTGAACGACTCTTTTTCAGCCTTATATTTTACCTTAACTTTGCAAAAATGTATTGTTTGGGTGTTGAAAAGCCTTTTGCTTTTAATGGTTCTATGAGAAGCCTCATAACTTCCTAATTTTGTGCATTTATTCCGATACAAAACCAATCTTACTTTTGTTTATTAGTTCAATCAAACATTTTTTATTGCCCAAAACAAAAAAAAGAGCTGATCCGATGTCTTTGGATTAGCCCATCCTAGGTATTACTGTATTGAATAAGTAGAGGAAAGTCCACAGAGGACTTTAAAAGTATGTATATATACTTACAGGTCACAGAAGGAGCCTGAAGTTGCAGGCAGACAGGAAAATACGGAGGGAGCCTGATTTGTTTGGGGGAATCAGCGACAGAGAGAGACGGGAGACAAATGAGTGGACGATGACTCAGTGAGGAAGGCAATTATTTAAAGGAAGGGAGAGAGGGCATGGTGTAGAGGAGTGGGCAATGAGAGGAGGAGAGAAAGAGACAAAGGGAATGAAAACAGAAAGAAAAGAAAGGGGGGCAATGGAGGAGTAGATGCAGAGAAAGAAATGAGAAAAAAGGAGTAAGTGTTGCCGTGTGAGGAAAAGTCATCAGTCAGTTAGTGGTACAGCTACAGGATTCAGTATATTTACTTCACTGGGATTTGCAATTACACAATCAAACACCTAAATGCAGATGGTTATTGGGGATGAAATGGGCTTAACAATAAAGAAACACACACAGACACACACACACACTCTACAGGGCATTAAAGTGTGGTGTAAAGTAACAGTGTGTGTTAAACTTGCAGCCAGAAGATGCAATCGAGCCATTGTGCATGAATGAAAGCGATCTATTAGCTGTTCAGAGAGAGAGAGAGTTAGCCGAGCACAGAAGGCCCAACTATTTGCCAGATGGACTCCCTCGCTGGCTGGCTGGCAGGAAGTAACAGGCTGTACATTTCTTTCTGATTGGCTCTAATTATGATCTACTGCCGTGCTTCCTGGAGAACTGCTGACTGGGTGATGTGTGTTGGACTCATGTGTATTTGTGAGCGCACATTCATTTGTGGTGAATCCAGAGAGAGTGGGACAGGGGAAGTTGTTGAGTAGGTAAATAAGGGAACGTGATGAAGTTCACCTCTATACTGGGATTTCTCTTCCTCCTCCTCTTTTCTTCATTTCCTGTCTTGTGCACCTGAGAGCTTTGATGGCCTCTTCGACATGAAAAATTTACATGTGGTGGATGTATCCACCCTTCATCTATCACTCTCTGACCTGAGAGTCGTACTGATGCTCATCCCCCACTTATGCTGTTAATGCACATGTCACGTGACTCAGCACCGGGCCGGGGTCAGAGCCAGGTGGAAGGATGAGAAACAACAAGTTTATTTTTGTTTTTAGTTGTTTAAATGTTTATTTTTAAGACAAAAAATTAGGAAATAGTGATTTTTTTTATTATTATTTTAAGGGCAGCTAGGCATCCCTCCAGCATGTGGCCTTCTAGGCGACTGCCCACGCCAAGAGCCGGCGCTGCACCAGAGTCAAGGACTGGCAATTGAGTGTGACGTGACTCAACTATGGAGGAAGTAAGGAGCAGGACACTGATGTCTTTTTGGCTTTGTAAAAAGACACAGAATAACACAGAGACGGTTTAGATATGAATGCTGCAGAGGCATAAACGCTAGTTCAGTGTCTGGTGGACGTTGCAGACCGGTAAACCTTTAGAGACAATGTTGTGCAAAAGTGAGCTGGATTAAAGTTCAGAATGAAGAAGTTCACATTCAGAATTCATTAGATCAAATTTTGAGTTCATAGACCAAAACTTGAACCAGTTTCCGTCTGATAGATGAGTATCAGCAGCATCTAGATATGAGAACTTCTACTTAGTGTGATGTCGCCATGAGAAACTTTGACTCTTACTTTATGCTGACCTTCATGACCTTTGGGAACTGGGCAGTTTAAACTCTTTCCTGATCTTGTCCTGCTCATGTGTTATTGTATGTTTTTATTAATCGCTTATGTTGAAACCAACCTGATGGCGGTCCATGAGATAACAAAAGAATACTACATAAAAACGTGTTGTCCCTCGATGCCCTCAGTGGTGTTGTATGGTGAGGGTTTCATACAAACACATTACTACTCTAGATTGGTTTGTAGATTTTATCCACGGGTATATCCTGTTTCAAACAGGCGCTCAATTGTCTAGAGCAAAACAATTCTCAGGACGTAAATGAAGACAGAACGAATAATATTCATCTCGGCTCCTCCTTGTGTGTTTGAGTACGTGATTCAATCTCCTCATGAACGACTGGGCAGATATATTCCATTAACCCAGGGTTTAAAGATCATCATCAGAGAGCTGCACGGTCAACATTACACAACATTAAACTTGGTTTGACTTTTACAGTAACATCAAATCCAGGTCTTCCTCTTTTGACTGGCTGGTTTTTAACTTAGACTGTATGGACACTTATCATGATGAAATCTGATCACTCTGTTCCTGCAAAACAGGAGTCATCTGCGGTCATAAAATCACTATATTACAGTTACCAGACTCCCTCAGGCTGATGCTTGTACAAACAGAGTCAAAGCATCCGGATGTAGATTTTTCTGCAACCGGTAAGCCTTTCAGGACTTTGGGTCGGGCCAGCAACTGGCGAACAAAGACCTTCAGCCGAGACTTCCTTTTCCTGGCGCTGCCATTGTTCACAGTCCAGGTTGAAAAGGAAGGATTGTTCTCAGCACCTGCAGGCATATTTCTTCATAAAGACATTTAATTTGAGCCTCATTGTTGGTAGAAAACCTACCGTGGACTTCATTCTGCCTCTTTGGCTCTCTGTATGCATGAACTCCTACCTGAACGGTACATACAAACCAGAACATTTCTGACACCGAAATCCAATTTTCTTCTTTTTCTTTCTAAAATCATATTTTTATATGCAGAGCTTGTCAGTATATAAAACTGTTTGGGTGAAAATGCCACAGAAACAGCTTCATAGATGGATACGGACGTAGAAATAAAACAAATGCAGCGGGCACAGAGTGGACAAAACAGATAAAAGTGTCCTCTCTTTTTACTCTTATCTCTCTCTTTCTCTCGCTCTTGAATTTGGTATTCACCTTACAGCTTTTATTAAATTCTTATCCATTTTCTGATTTCCTCTTGCTGCCTCCATCCTCCCCATTCCTCTTTCCCCTGCCTTTTCTCCCCCTCTGTCCTCTCCCTCCACCCGCTGCTCTACATGCAGGCCTCTCCCCTAACCGACCTCTAATCAGATCAATTCACTATTCCATTCACAGGGATATGATAAGGTGATTATGCATGGGCCTGGTGCTGCTTGGACACACACACACACACACACACACACGCCCTGCCCCCTTTAGCGCTGATGGGAGTTGACGTCGCATTTCCCTTAAAAATTCTGTAGATGTCCTCCGTCAGAGAAAGCTGGCAACCTGGTGCTCCTCCGATTAATTTGTCTCTTCGCTTCTAATCAGCGTCAGGATGGAGGAAGGAGGATGTAGAGGTAGGAACCAGGAGAGGAAAGCAAGGGGAGAGGAAAGGAGGCGAAGAATATCATCGGGATGGATTGCACTCTTGAAATAAAAATCTATGGATTAAGAAAAGCAAGTTAATTTCCTCACTCCATTACTGGCAGATTCTTGTTCTCATTACATCCAATTCATGTCTTTATTTTTAGGAATAAGACGTCCACCTGGACTTGGCTCTTGAATATGGCCCAAGTTAAGTTTGACAAGATATGTTTTAATAAAAGTACGGAAGAAATAGTTAAAAGTTTTCATAATACATGACACATCATACTGCAAATGCCAAACTTTCAAAAAAGTGATAGTACCATGTCTCAGCCACGAGGTGGTAAATCTCCCCAAACACTTGTCTACAATTGCGTAAATTTATTGTTTTTGTGTGTTTTTGTGAGTTTGAGAAATTGCATCAGAAATTCAAAGTGGCAGATGGAGGAACGGGACGCTCGGAGTACCTCAGAAATGAGTGTCAAAGCCTTTTATATTCTTGGAGAGCCAGACAGGTAGGGAATATTTTTCCAACAAAATAGGCAAAAGGAATACTTTCTCACTGTTGCAGTATATTAGTATTGACGGTAGCTGTCTGTGAGAATATTAAATATTGATACCTTTTTAAAAAATAAGCAAACAGTCATACTGCGAGTTTACAGATGGGGTTCTTTATGGTTGTTGCCACATGTCTTAAAACAGCTCCTAAGCTCTTTAAAAGATAATTAGACATTTATCTCTATTTGGCCCCACAACTTACTTATCAGAAGTAGTTAAACTTTCAAAATAAAAGCACATGACAGGAAAAACATGGGTGATTATTTGTGTAGACTGTGTTTATTAGTAAAATTTATGAATTTGTAATGTTTATGAACACAGTTTGTTGTCATTAACTTGTCTTGTACCTTCTCAGTTTTACTCACTGTGTTATACTGAATTTCAAGATTTTATAGTTCATAAATATCTTCATATTATTGTTATTGTGCCCACAATCATTGTGGGTGAAAACCTGTTATTGTCAGAGCTCTACTGCAGATTTTAATCAAATTTTTTCATATACATTTTTTATGTCTCTGAAAACAGTGGGGGTCATCTGATATTGTTTTTTCACGGCCGATAGCAAACACATAGTTTATTAAAGCAATAACTAATATCTGGAGCCAAAATGTGTTGACAGTAAAATTTAAAGACTATCAGTCACAATTTAAAGTTTTGGGAAAGTGAAAACTCTACTTTAAAATAAACACCTGCAGCAAATGTTTGATCAAATTTCTAACAGCCGGGTTTTCAGTCCCTTATTAAAATTTTACTATAACTTAAAAGTGAATATTTTTATTAAACAAGAGTATTAAATAGTCTTCATGTTATACTTTTTTTTTTTTCCAATATCATGTTTTTAATACACAGTGCCTTCTGCAGATTTGGACTGTTGGATGTTTTGTTGAATCCTCTAGAGATTTTTAAAGAATAAGTAAATCTTAACAGTTTTACAAAGTTTTGACTTCTTTTGTGCAGATTTGGAGGGAAAAATCAACTCCAGCAGCAGCAGCAGAATCATCAGGATGAGTTGATCTAGTTCCAGAGATAACCTGTAGGGGGTGCTGATGCTCCTTTAGTTTTAATCTTGATGAAGCTCAGAACCTTTTGGCTGTATCTTCACAAAAAAGAAGTGGATCTTTTCTTTTTTATTTTTTCTACACATGTTGTCTGTGAGTCGACAGCAGTATAATCAGCTCCCTTCACTCTATCGCCTTTTTGTGAAATCTCCATAATTGATTTAAAGATCTCTTATCACGTCAGCTTCAGGAGAGCAGAAAGCCTGTGTGCATGTAATGAGGAGAAACACAGAGCCTCTCACAGCAAACACCAACCATCTGCTTACTGCCTCAAACCAGAGTCAGCTTTGAATGCAGATTAATAATGAAATGAGAGCGAGTGGGTCACGGCTCGTTTGAGTCGCACTATGATTTTGCTTCTCCAGTCGTCCTGTCGCTCTTTCTAATGTAGATTTTTTTAAAACATCATAAATATCAATCCTGCGCACTTTTACTGAGAAAAATGGAAACTTAAAATGCTGAGAAAGTCGTTTTTCTTTCATAGAGAGGAGAGGACTGATGAAACTGCTCAGCAAAAATCTCACTGTTGACTCACAAATATCAGGAACGGCTGCAAAGAAGATGGATTTTCTTATTTGAATGAGGCGGGGTAATAAGTTTTACATACTAACACTGAGAAACTGAGGAAGGATCCGTGCACAGAGCAGCAAGAGAAGAGCACTTACAGAAAGAAGGATGAATCAAAATGCTTACTCAGATAAATCAGTGCTTTAATAACACTTTTTTTATGTACAGTTTCTTAAATTTACAAGAGTAAATCCATCAATAATACCTGGTCAAGGCCATAATGCTTGTTAATACAAACACAGTTCACTTTAATGTTTTTACCTGAAACCTCAACAGATTCAACAATTTATTCAGACTAAAATAATTATTTTAAAATTAAGACAAGACACGTTCTTCCAAGATTCATTTATCAGGTTTTGTCCAATTAAACTGTTTATTTTCAATTCAATATTATTTTCGTTTGCACATTACTGTGTTTCTCTCACCACTACAGCATTTTATCTCATAGTTTTGACATTAATGTAGAATCTATTCCTTTTTTTTCATAATTATGACACTTTTTTCGTAATTTTAGCTTTACATCTCATAATTTCTACTCAAATTCTGCTGATGGTTTCGCTCGGTGGTTTGATCAAGCACCCCACTGATGGACACTCCAGTCCTTAAAGCAGACATCCAGGCTTGATCCAACTTGGCCCTTTTCTGCACGCCATACTTTCCTACTTTTATCCACTTTTATCCTAACTTTTACTAAAATGCATAAACCCCAAAAGTCCTCTGGAAAAGCTTTTGTATTGTTTTTTTTATCTTTCTTTACATAATTGTCTTTAAAGATTTTCAAAGCCGACAAATATCAGACTGTAGTTCAAACTTTGTGGTTAAAATCATCATCTTTCTGCAGTAATTTTTGGTGATTTGATAATAAAAACCCCTGTTATCTCTTTGTCTCTGTTCCCGCTCTGATCATTCAGCTTCTTGGCTGCAGCTGCCGTGTGGGTAACAGGTGAAATCAGGACATTAAGCTGTGAGTGGGATGTGGGCTAATCTTCGGGCTGAATGCCCACTCAGGGACCACTTGCTCTCATTTTGACTCTCTGCGACTCCAGGTTTCCACAAAGTACTTGATGACTGGGCGATCCTGTGCCTGATGGTCGTCTACAGTTCAAGCTGAAGCACTTTGACACCTGGCTGAGGTAAATAATGTGAATGCGGTTTGGTGCTTTATGAGCCAGTATCTTTGCAGCGAGGCAGCCTGCGTGTCCTCACTTCATAACAAACTTATCTTCTGGCTTAGTGGGAGGTTTGTGACTGTCACGGCTGCATTTTAGATAAAGCCCGGCGTCCTGGTCAAAGACGTGTCCAGAATTTTGTGAAAAAATTGTCGTCACAGCAATTTCTTTCAAGGACTACACTGAATACATTTCTATGCACTGAGTGTTTGCAGAAAGTGTCAGAGAGCAGTCTATAAAGAAGCACACATAACGCACACTAATCACAAAAAACTGCTTCAGCAGCAAAACGCTCATACTGCCGGTTTGATGCCTCTTCATATACACAGATTCGGTGTTCAGCAGAGATGGTCAACCACCTCAGTGATTGACCAATAGAAAGCTTCCTCGTTAAACATTGCTATAAGGCTGCTGATCAGTGTTAATTTGACTGAATACATAAATTTCACCTCATTGTGACTTAATTGAAGAGATGAATTTTACATAATCCTCATCAGCTGAAGCCGAGGGAAGGAAAATGTTGTACACACAGATAAAAGTGGTCTTAAAGTTAAAAGAGGGTGCGTAACAGCTCACAAAATATTCATTGTGACCATTCGTCCTCTTTTACCTGGACATGTCCTCTTTTGGGGGGCTGTACGGCCTGTTTGGTGGAAGTTTATAAAATCCTTCAAATGTCCGGGTTTTTGTGTAGCAGTTTTGAGTTTGTGAAGCATGGACTAACTAAGTTAGAAGCACGTAAAACACACTTGACCCGACCCGACCCGACCCGACCTGAAAAACCATCAAAATTTTACACGCGACTCCACCCCGTGTAGTACTGTCCTCTTTTGGGGGATTCAGAATATGGTCACCCTAACATATGTTTTTTATGGATATCATTATTGATATAGAAAAAAGAAGAGGACCTAAGGATGAGCCTTGTGGGACTCCTATCTCAACCTTTAGTTATTCAGATTAACAGCAGCAAAAACACATCGGTTCAGCAGCTAAATGTGGCTTTGTCACTTCCGGTCTGGACTCAAATTGCACAGGATTAGATGGATGGATGGATGGATGCATGGATGGATATAGATGGATGGATGGATATAGATGGATAGATGGATGGATGGATGGATACCGTGAATGTGCTTATCATAGTCTCCAACACTGTCAAGTCACTCTATGTCCAATCTAGAAACATCAGCGTTTATAATACCTATTTACAACCAGTATTGGCATCATTCAAAATCACAGACATGGAGTGTACACCGTAGTTGTTCATCTTCAGCTGCAGGTTCTTGCAACCTGTTGACATATTTATTTTTGCAGCAGGAGTGTCAAACATTAATTCTATTGTAATGCTCTTGTCATTTTTTAGCATGACTTGAGCTCTCAGAGGGTAATTACGGCTATTGTTGCATGTGCACACAACATATCATTAATAAGAAGGTAATTGATTGCAATATGCCAGAGTGATGTCAATCAAAACATCATTAACTCACGGTCTCAACAACTTCAAGGAGCCACATGAGACTCTCAGCTGCAATCTTCTGTATTCTGTATATTCTTTCTTTCAAGCGTAATTACCAAAAGTCGTTAAGCTAACACCTGATCACAGCGCTAAAATATGCCCATGCCGCCTCTCTGAAATATATCCCTACAGATAGTATTCAAATGATTTCCACAAAAGGAGTCTTGAGCATTTTACTCGATGGTGCCTTTTTATTTAGAGGACATAAGATGTTTAATGGCTCTGATTTTGGCCCGTCTAAGATAACAGCGTGCTGTCTATTTAAGGGACAGAGTGATGCATGAGTATATCCAGCTCCTCAGTAGATATGCCAGTGATATTGTGATGGAGTAAGAAGGGATAAACATCCACTCAAGACAGACTGAGACTAAATGACCTACAATAGTGTCCCCATTCATTTATTCACGCTGTTGTTTACAGACACGTCACCAAATCTCTTCTGCTTGATCGAGGAGAATATAGAAGCTCAACCACTCATCCAACTTGTGCTCAGACGTTCATGACTGTGTTCTTCTCTTTGTCCCGGACTCCAGCAGCCAGAAATAACTCGAACAGAGAAGCTTGACAGCGTGAATCCAACTTGGTTCCAATCTGCTGTCAGGAAGCCGCCTGTCGCTGTGGGATGAAGAGTGACAGCGAGATGTGAAGTTAATGGACCGCAGTGCTGTCTGGCTCAAACGATTATAATGACAGAAATGGAAATTACACAGTTTTTCCCCTTTTGGATGCATCTGCGAGTGAGGGTTCTGACCATGCAGAGAATGGAGGAATTAAGGGTGGTGAAGTTCAAATCTTAGATATTGATTTCCATCAGGAGAGAGAGAGAAAGTGGCTCTCGGGGGATCAGTCAGTTTTAGCTTTCAGGACTTGGAGGATAAGCCACTGAGATAGACTGATGACATCTCAAATGAACTCTGATACTCATCACATGAGTACACACACTTCTCACTAACTGATCAGATTTTCCTTACAGATACTTCTCTCAAACCCACTCAGCTCGTCAATAAATGAACTGTGCATGTTGTTATGTCTCATCAAAGTCTCCGAGGTTTCGCTGTGGGACTTTGAAAAGCTAATCTCAGGGATGGTTAATGATTAAAACGGAGGCTGTAAGATGATTTCTTACAGATCAATCAGAGAAATTTAAATTTTAGTAGCTAAAATTATTGATTGCATTTCTCATCACGTGTTGAGGATCTCATTATTTTATAATCCAAAACTGTTTTCAAGCCTTAATTAATGATGTAAAGCTTTCTTACCTGTGTCTTAATTTTAGGGAAAAAAATCAATGCAATAAGATGTATTTAATGATTTAGACTAGTGGTCGACTATGGCTGATAGGGATGACAATAATTGACAGAACTGGTCATCCAATAAAGTGCTGATCGTCTCTACCATTTTTTTTTTTTTTGCCTTTTATTTAAGATAATGATTTAATAATAATGAAACTAGTTGTTTTATGCAAATTGCAATATGATATAAATAGTTAACTTAACCAAAGACATGTTTTAGGTGGATTATGAATTAATGGAAAGTTATATTGGGCTGTGCTGTAAATTTTAAAACATGACATATTTATGCCAAATCTGTTCTTTTATATAGAGTACTTGTCAAACTCTTGGGGGTAACTGTTAGATTTAATTTGCTGCCATTTAATGAGTTAAAAGTGAGGTAGGCCGGATCTGAGGAACTGCCAGTTTATGGGAGAAATCTTGAATGTAAACACTACCCCTCCCAACCAGTTTTTCCCTTTAGCTCCTCCTCTCCCCTTGCGCTCTGCTCCAGCAAGCCCTGCCCACAAGTAGACGCTCCTGCTCACTCATATCGTTTCGATTAAATTCAGCAGAAAGGTTACAGGGTTGGTAAGATCTCGAGGCATCCCCCATTGTTTATGCTGATGTTGACCCGGCTTCTTAGCTCTTGTCCGGTCTACCTCTGTTTTAAGCGCCCGTTATTCCGCCAGAGTCTCCGGTATTTACTTCGTTTTCTTGCTTGTATTTCCATACTTTCTGGTTGGTTTGTACTGTCCGATGTTGTAGCACGCTAACTTTGGGCTCGTGAATGTTGTTGGAGGACATTGAGCATGCCTCACAACACGAGGGAGCAGCGTCCGCCTCACAACCAATCACAGACATAACAAAACACAGTAATATCATTATATTTCCAAATGTCATCAATAACTAATAGCTATTGACTGATATTAAAAGCTCTTTTGTATTTACACCACAAAAAAAGATGCTTCTTTAACGTAACCCTGCCTACCCCACCTTAGAAGTGTCTGTAGTGTTTGCGAAAAGGATTTCTTCATTTTTAATTGGCTTAATGAGCCCAGATATTGGCTGTGCGGCTCGTTTCAAAATACCTTAAATCAACTCAATTAATCAGTCAATATGATTCATTGGTGTATCTCTAATCTTGACCTTTAGATATAAATGCTGCCCTGCTGCACCAGCATGATCCAAAAGCATTAATCAGAGGTGAGAGACGTCTTCAAAGTGCTTATTTAGGGGTGGATAACACAGTTTCAATTTAATATGCAGGAGTAAAAAGCGTCAAATTAGTGTCAAAGTAATGTGCAGTTATACTTTTAATAATTCACTTCACTCTAGTGATTCCTGGTTAATGTGACACCATGAGCACCTTTCAGGAGTTCACGTTTTGTTGTTGACTTTCTTTCAAACAGGTTCTGTATGTGTGGGATTATTTACTGAAGGGAAAAGTTTAGGGGAAAAAAAAGTTTTTATAGAATTAAGTACCTTCTTCATCTTACTCTAAACTTCATGTCCTGCTCTGTACTCATCAAATTCAGGCTTGTAGAACAAAACAAACAACACCAACAAGCACACAGATCTATATTTAACAGAGAACAGAGTTTTCCCACAGCAAGAATATTTCTGCCCAGTTCACAAGCATCTCTTGTGTTTGTGTGCAGAAATTTCAATCAATGTTTCAGATCTTGTTTTAATTTTTCAAAGCTGCAGTTGGGCGGGTGTATATTGGCGCCGGAGAGGGAAAAGTCTTGTGGAGAGATCTCACTATGCTGCTGCTTCATCATGAGATAAATCCCTTACTAATGACATTTGGAGTCAGATCAACCTCTGGCCAAATCACACAATCAGCATTAAGTCTGTGAGTTTGCTGGTTCGAACTTCAGTGACCACCAAAGACTGCAAGACATGAATACTAACTTTCCTTCTCTAACATAAAAGTGACTGATTGTGATTTATTTCACACAATATTGCTGTGGTTTATAGTGATGATACTGTTGGTTATAAATCAGACCTTCTAACTGTACTTCAAGTTTAGACATTTGAGACTGATGGCCTTTGCAAACTTAACGTTCCTTGACTTCACTTCAAAATGTAACAGAAGAGTGCGGGCAAATAGGCAGAACCTTTTTAAAATATTTTTGGGCAACAATTAATTACACCACAAGGTTAAGACAGAGTTTATGAGTACTAGGGCACAATAACTCATCACTTTCTCGTTCAAGATTGTTCAAATCCACTCAGTTTGGTTGATTACACCACATTTTTTTCTCTTTTCTGCATGGAAAAACAGATTATCACTATGTTGCCACCTAATTAGAGGCAGATTCATGGCAAAAGTCAAAGAAGAAAGTGTTGTTTGCTTCACCTTTTCTGATCCCTCCTGGAGGCCAAATCCAGATTGACTCCAGGCAAAGGCTGCAGACTTTTCCCTCGGTCCATGTTGTGTTAAAGTGGCAGAAATTGACTCAGCTAAAGAGCTTTGGAGGAGTATTGTCAATACTTTGTTGATGAGGAGGCAAGTTAAACTCAGGAGGCTTTAAGTGACAGAACCAGATTTGGAGATTAAAAGATTAATCTCAAGACTTTGATCCACACAGGCACAGATAGATCCTCTATCTATCTTTTCATCCATACATACATAAACACATACATATATAAATATACATATAGCTTAGATACAATCTGCTTAGGTGCATGACAGCACTGTCATGAGGAAGATTCAAGATTTGTTCATTTGTCATGTGCATGTTAAACAAGGTCAACAATGCAATGGAATGCCCTGGATGAGAGAACCGCTCGACTCAAAGGAGTACAGATAGAACACACAATAAGTACTGAAGGAATGCAATAAGATAAGAATGCAAAAATATATATATTTAAGACGAATAAAAGTAGGTAAGAGAAATATTTACAAAGTGCAAGAAATATTTACAAGTGAAAAAGAGATACTTACAAAGTGAACGAGCGATGCAGTAGGTGCTGAGTGTGAATGAATGGAAATCCTTTGACTCTATAAACTCTAAAAACTGTAATGTGTTTTTGTTTGACTTACAAACTTTTACTGAAACTTAATGTCAAAATTTTTGCCTTTTATGGAAACGTATGTGAAAAGTTTGAAGTCAACTGCAAAAAAAACAAACAAAAAACACATCACAGAGTAAAAAGGGAGCTTAAGAACAAAGTTTTGAGACTTTAAGGGTATACAGTGGTATTTCTGATATTTATACGCACAACCCAAGTTTGGATAAATAAAATGGCGCCAATTTTGCCTCCATATTTATCCGTTGTAGGAACCTTCGTTTACATCCTCCCTTGCCACCGCCGGACTGTGTTTGTGGAACACCACATACGTCACTCGCCGTCATTTCCTCCCCACGTGAGACTCTTGTACATGTGAGGAGTTTTCGCTGCTGCGATATTTGTCCTCGTTTACGGATTCAAAGATCAATTTTCTCCTCATATGATCATCGACAGCAGGAACATGGAGTCCGCAGAGGAGGAAGAGCAGCTCGGGTTAGAGTCCGAGGAGGAGAGTGAATTATCGGACAGTGAGGTGAGGAAACCGCTGGAACATCGGCTAACGAAGCTAACAAGAACTAAACAGAGTTACCACTGAGAGGAGGAATCCGAAATGTTCATGTGGATGAAGCAATATTGTTAAAATGAGACACCCGTCTGGATAAAATTAGACTTACATTATCGTAGATTTACATTTTACCGCAGCTATGACTTATTATTGATGACTGTGTGTTAACGATGTTCATCTCATTATTATACCTGATTTTATTTTCCACAGCTTCAAGAAGCTTTTGCTCAGGGGTTGTTGAAACCAGGAATGAACGTCCTGGTGGATAAAGCCAAAAAATCTGTGAATAATGTGGTGAGTAAATCCACTCACAACAGAAGACACGTATCAGTGTTGTATGTCTAATGTGAATTTGGTGATGTGTAACCAGTAGTAGTAAAAAAAAAAAAATGAGGGGATGGTGGGCTTTATTGTTTGGGACAGATATTTTTGTTCTGATGACAGTGCACAAAGTGGGAAACCAACTGTGGTACCCATTTTATTGTTGCTAAAGCACAGAGGTAATTATTATATTATGCCTTGGATCAAGCTGTCCATGTCACTTGGCCATGATACTGAAATTGCATCAGCATCACCAGTGCTGCTTCACCACTTACAGATGTCATTTATTTTGAAAAGGGGAAAAAAGTGTGTTTTTCACATATGCCTCTTCACCCAGAGTATTTTATTAAATATGCACAAAGATCCCTGTCGCAGGGTTCTCGTCAAAAAAACAAAATAAACATTGAAATGGTGGTAATATTTACAATGTTAAATTACTAGTAATATTTCCACATAAGAATGGTTTCAATGATAGAAAGCTGGGATGACCGTTTTAGAAGGGGGGATGAGTTTTACCATTTTCATTTCAGGGGGATGCCATCCCTCCTCCTTCCCCCCTCAACTCAAGTACTGTGTGTAACCTTGTGTCTATGTTGTGATGCAGGAGGGGTTGAAAGCGAGCCTCGCTGACTTGCGTAAAGACCTTCCCTGGGTGGAGAGGTTGGATCTGACAAACCCGCCCGTTGAAGACATTCTCGCCAAAGCTGAAGGCAAAGCTCCAAATCCAGTCAATGGAGACGTCAACGCGGACGATGATTTCCAAAGGGAGATGTTCTTGTGAGTGAATTTAACTTTATGTGGAGCTTGTTTACTGATTCAAAAACAGCTGCAACATGTAAACAACTGACTTGCTGCTCTGAAGCTGTTTATCATGTTAGATGATCCTACTCAGCAGACGACCACTTGATGAAACTTTACTCTGTTCTATCTAAACCTGTAATGTCCTAATTTTTAACCCTCAGCTACCGTCAGGCTCAGGCGACAGTGTTAGAGGCTCTACCCCTCTTAAAGATGCACGGCATACTCACCAAGAGGCCTGACGATTACTTTGCAGAGATGGCCAAATCAGACCAGCAAATGCAGAAGGTGCGCTCCTTTCTCCTGACTCAGAATTTATCTTCATGTTATTGAAGCTCAGAGCCTTGTGGATTTCTTGGGTTTCCAAATCATGACTAAAACATTTCTGTATTTCTTTCTTCTTATTTGTTCATCTTTTTGTTGTAACAAGTACTATTACACTCAACTGATATTTCTTTAATGGTAAAGGTACTAAAGGCTGGTCTGTATTTATTGTAGTAAGAGTTTATTCCTGTAGGTATACTGGTGTTCCACTGGTGGTTAATCAAAGACGTTTGCTCTCTTCTTTTGAACAGATTAGGAAAAAGCTGATCTCCAAGCAAATGATCATGGAGAGGTCAGAGAAAGCCAAGAAACTGCGAGAACAGAGGAAGTTTGGCAAAAAGGTTGGTACCTCTTTCTCCACCTGGATTTCTGTTTTTTGTAACACGCTCATTTGAGGACAGAATTTCACTCCCATTTATCAATAGAGAGCTATCTGTGTAAGGATTTAACAAGAATCAACATGACTTTTTCTATGTCTACCAGGTCCAAGTCGAAGTGATCCAGAAGAGGCAGAAAGAGAAGAAAGCCATGATGTCTGCAGTGAAGAAATACCAGAAAGGTGAGGGTTTTCACTGGTGTGGTTTCATGTTGTGATTATTCTCTGCAAGTTTCTCTGTTACTGATTTAATGTCGGTGAAAAGAAAGTTAAAGCAAGATGTTGGTTGTAATCACAGATTTCCTTCTTAATGAGTGAGTTTATTCCCAAATGGAGGCTTATTGGTTTCTAATCCACCCTGCTCTTAGGTATGACAGACAAACTGGACTTCTTAGAAGGGGACCAGAGATCGGGTAAAGAGACTCAGCAGGGATCCAAGAAAGTGGCCAACAAGAAGGGGTAAGCCAGAATAACCAAGCTGTATATGATTACGAATCAGCAATTGTGCCTTTTTTTCTAATAAATTTTCTTTTCCACAGCCCCAATGCTAAGAGGAAATACAAAGATCAGAAGTTTGGTTTTGGTGGTAAGAAGAGTGGAAAGAAGTGGAACACCAAAGAGAGCTTCAATGATGTGTCCGGTTTCCGAGCTAAAGTGGCTCATGCTAAAGGCAACAAAGGAGGAAAGAAAGGCAAAGGAGGAAAACAAAATGTGAGTGACTCATTTATTTCAAAGATAGTCTGGATTGATGAATGAAGGACAGTGGTTGAAGAGAATTTTAATACTACTCAGTGAACAGTTTCCTCTGCAGAAAAAAAGAAACTTAATATCTCTCTCTTTTGTTTTTCAGAAACGTCCGGGCAAATCAGTCCGCAGGAAAATGAAGTCTCGCTCTTAAACTGAATGGACATTCGCTGGTGAAAATGCCAGACTGGACTCTTGGTTTCAGGCAGGATTTCATAGGCCTGCTCCTCTATAGGCATCCAGAGACATGCAGGAGAACGTGGGCTTTTTTTACACCTTTAATTCAGTTTGCTATGAAATATGTCTGGATTGATGTTGGAGACCCTGAGAGAGAGAGAGAAAGAGCAGTCCTGCCAATCTGTGAAAGAAGGACCCTGAGAGATTGTGGACTACACAGAGATACTCAAACTACAGAGAGAATCCGACAATATTAAGACATACTGCAGACTTAATTTTTGGCCCTTAGCCTCTTTTTTGATAAGCCTCAGTATCTACATTAACCTTCTCACCATCTCGTCTGCATTGTGTGCCCTTCAGAGTTTATTTTGTTTTATTTTTTTTTACAAACTCAGCTCCTTGACTCATCGATTCTCCCCATGTGACATGACATTTAATAATATTGAGCAGCTGCTACTTTTGCCCTTTCCTCCATTCATTAATATGATTAGGATGTGATGGGTAAGGCCGCTTTGTGTAGACCTGTGCGAGTGTTTGCCATGCAAGTCTGTTTCTTTGTTTGCTCAGATGGAAATGCAGAACGGCAGCTTTGGCTGATGACATCTGAGTGTTTGATAAATAAAAATCTGATCTAAGGTTCTTACTTTTAGAGGATGTTTTTCTGTCTTGTTCTTACTCCATGAACACAGGTCCGATTCTTGGTGTTTGGTCGTGTCTGAGCTGGGGCTGTGTGACGTGGTTAAACACTCATGTTGATGATTTTGTGAAACGCTTCTGGGTGATTAAGATTTGCATCCTAGTAAAAGTAATACTGTGACATTTGTGAACACACTTTTTGTTTCTGGGGCACATCTCTTCAGTTTGACAGGAAAATACTTGTAGCTACAGCAGCTTTTTGGGAGGTTAATCCACAAACCTGAATCTTAAAACTTTTAAAAATAATCTTATTACCACTTTCACATTTAGACATTCATACCTAATATAAAAGATCTTCAAATATTCTCATTTTTCAGTCCTCTAACTTTGACGAGCTCACACGATTTCCACCAAGTTTCTGCTTCTTTCATTCTTTAATACTTTGAGGCACAGTCAGATCTATAGAGATCTGATGCAGCAGTGACTTTTAGTGTCTGGTCACATCAGTGCAGACTCGTGGGAAATAAAGCCTGTCGCTGCGCTTCTGAGGAGTCTGAAAAAACAAAAATAGAGTCTTAAGCATTTGAGATAGATCAGCAAATCACAAATTGGGGATCCATGCCCACAATGCCACCCTGAAGTCCAGTCATTTGGTGATTGCTCCAAAATGAATGCCTGAACTGTGTTTTCCTCACCAGTTGAGATGCCCACCAACCGATCTTCTGACTCTCTGTCAGCGGCTCAGGGTATTTCTTTGAGGGTTCCTGGTGGATCCTGCGGTAGGCTTCGATGTATTCAGCTGAAAAGAGAGTTTTGCTTAATTAATACAAACTAATTTCTCTATTCAAAGTGGTATAAATGCTAAATAAAGTCATACATGGTATACCTTTAAACCTCTTAATCAGTAGGGCAGAGTGGGGTAAGATGAGCCATTTTTCATATTTCGGATCACTACATCAAGACAATCATAGTTTTGTCTGTAACTAGTGTATCTGCAGATATTTCAACATGTTCATCCCTGCAAACCAACAGAATGAGTGTAAACAGAACTGTCTTGATAATATGTCGAACCCCTTCACCCTTGTGCTTCTAACCTTCACAGACTCCATGAATTGATGCTCATCTCCTAAATATTTGGTCACCTGATCAATTTCTTTTACCATTTCCAAGCATCAGGGGGTGGCTCAACTTACCCTTTGGCTCGACTTACCCCACTCTCCCCTATATAGTGTACTCACTGGTATCTACGAGGATCTCTGGTTGTTTTCTAGCCATAGGTTTGTCTGGCAGTAGATGCACTGAGAAAAAGTGAAAACACACAAAAACATTACGAAGAACAACTCCAAGTTTTACAATGCCACACAGGATCAAATGTTGCTTGGTAAAAATCTGATTAGGTATGACAAGAACACACATCTGACAGTACAGTCTGCGGTTCTGTTTCCGCAATCTGATTGGACAACAGACGTTCCATGAATGCCAGTACACAGTATAATGGTATGTCACTTTTGACTGGACGTATCACTCCGCGTCAGTCAGGTCAAGAGACCGTTCATATTTAATTCACATTTAACTGTCTGCTTACAAAAATGTACACAAACGAATCTGATTTATGTTAAACATAGAAACCAAATTAGTTGCAAAAGTACATGTAAAGAGCCTATTTGGTTTTGTTTGACAGCAGGAGTGGAACTAGCTGAGATTGCGGCGCAACAAAAACATAAGTGAGGATACTCTTTTGAGTTTAACGTCCACGACTATGGGTGTTTTAATTTCCCAGAAGGATCGGTAAATGTCCATCTAAGCTAATCTTCTCTAATCTAACGTGCATAAAATGTTAAAGAAACGCAAAATCAGAGCTGCTCACCTTTCCTGTAGGGATTGAAGCTGACCTCTGTCTGGAGTTTCAGGTGTCTCAGCTCCTTCTTGACAGTCTCGATAAAAATGGTGTTCTCATGAACCATATTCGGCGTCTCTTTCTTCTTTTCGGCCATTGCAAAACAAAAGTACACAAAACAAAACTACACAAAACAAAACGGCGTGACCCCTTGTATCGAGAACTGAGCGTAGCAAGAGGTCCTCGATGAGGCGCTTTGCTGTTGCTTGGCAACAGTAAACACGGGCTCTCGCTGCAGTATCGTCTTTTGAACGCACGATGGCGCAGCGCGATAAGGATTGCTCATCGTAGTTCACCAGCGAAGTCTCGTTTTAAACAGTGTGTTGCAAAAGTTCATAAATACCAGCACTGCAGCAAAGTTAGGTTCTCAAACTCTGCGATATTAAATACAGAGAAATATATTCAACCCTAGAACACAATCATTAAAATTAGTAACACCATCACTATCGCCTGTTGATTTTTACCCGAAATAATATACCCAAGAAAAAGTACTTTTAATCAAAATATATCAAAATAGCACAATACATGATGATTAAAGTAGTTTTATTTTTTTTTAACTGCAATGGGACAGGAAAAAGTGCCATGAGGGGACCATATAATAATGCAACAAAATAACTGAAATTATGTATATATATATATATATATATATATATATATATATATATATATATATATATATATATATCTACTGTAAACTTAATTTCTTTTCCACCTATTTTCTGGGACATGTGAGTCTTCCCTGGTTAAGACTCAAGGTCTTTGGCACAATAACAGCTGCAGGCGAGAGAACCAAAATATGGCAGATTTTGAGAGAGTAAAAGTGACCAGCTGACTAAAATATTTCTTATCACCACATGAATTCCCTTAACATCACTACTTTGTAAAAGTTATTCATAACGACTGCGCTAAATAAAGATAGCATGCAAATTCCACCATTGGCCCTTTGGTCCATCAAGATGTTGTGAAGTGGGTGATCCATGTTCTTTAAAACAGACTCCACCTTCCTCAGTGTAGATCTCTCCACCACATCCTCCACTGAGTCCAGTTTGAGTCCAACAACAGAGCCACTTAAGTTAATCAATTTTTTTCTCCTGCCCCTAGAAAATACCCCTTTTTTGTACAGGCTATTGAACATGGATCCTGTCTGTAACTTGTGCAGCATTTACTCCAAAATGTCAATCACCTCCTATGTTACAGTTTACAGTAAATTCATGCTGGTTTGCAGACAAATCTGCAGAAACAAAGAAATTCTGCAACAAAAAAAACAACATCAGTGGACAAAGCCTCTCATCTCCAATTTTCCCAGCTTTGTAGTCTGTCTGAGCTCTGCAGTCCTCCCTCTGACTTAGTGAAGCCTTTTGTTCATCCCACTATGCGCTGTGTTTTCTTCAAACCTCTACTGTTTTGTGTCATGTTGTAAATGTTTGCCTGGAGCAAACAAACCCATCAAATGCGGTGGGAGAGCGCTGAATAGATGAATATGTTCTGTTGGGTCGACAAATTACAGCTTTCAAACATTCATTTCACATACACAGGTTTTAAAAAGTGTGTAATAACAGTGAGAAATTCACTCTAACTAGATGGAAAGAAACTTTAAGAGCTGCTCAAATGATCAGTGACCTTGTGACAGCGCATTGTGGCGTTTCTTCTCTTTGTCTTGAAGCACACTTGACGTCCTTTTCACCCTGTGGTGTCACGAATCACACATAAATAACACCACTTTCACATCTTGTAAATAGTACTTATGGATGGGTGGTTGCTGTGGCTGCACTGATACACTTCCAGCGCCGCTCTGACAACCCCTCTCAACACGCGTCTGCTCTCATTTCATTTCCCTTTCATTTGTTTCCTTCTCCTCCTCCAGCCTTCCTTCCCTCTCACTCTGCCGAATCTTCCTTCTCACGAGCAATCATCATGTCTTCACGCTCTCTTTGTTTGTAGCGTGAACTCTGTGTGTCTGTGCGTGCAATAACAGACAGCTTAATAAAGGTTGAGGTCTTCCTGTCTCATAACCGGATTCAGGCTTTATTGGCCTTGCGTGAGAGATATAACAGAAACAGGTAATAACTCAGACACAGGAGGGGCTGTCGGGGGGGAGATTTCAGTGATTTCGGTGTGTGTGTGTGTGGGTCACCAGTCCCCTGTGGTGTTGGTGTGTGTGAGCGAGGGAGAGTGAGCAATATGTATTACAGGAGGATGGGAGGGTTTGTGATGTCGAGCTTTGTTCCCCGGCTCCTGTCACAGCGTCGCAGCGAGTTATCATCAACGCAGCTTTTTTGAGCTCCTGGGGTCTGCTTTAGTAAAGGCCATCTTATGAGTTTGGGCGAGTACTATAAAAAAAAAAATCCTCTGAATTTCACTCTATTTTACATCCCACAAGAGGAATTATTTAGGTGAATAGATAACATTCATGGTTTGAAAAATAGTGAAACACAAAGAGTTTGAGTTTAACCTTCCTTTGGTGTTTTAAACTAAATGAATATATAAAAAATGTTAGATATCAAGTACAAAGCTGATGTATTAATAGCAGAAAAATAGACAAAGAGATTCACATCATTAAATTAGATGACAGGGTCTTGACCATCTCCAAAACTGCAGCTTTTGTGGGATGTCCCCAGTTCGCAGTGGTCAATATCTACCAAAATTGAACTATGGTAAGAAAACCAGTGAACAATGACAAGATCATGAATGGCTGAGAAAAAGGTGAAGGCTGGCCTGTGTGGTCTAATCCAACAGAAGAGCTACTGGTTCTGATCATCCTTATGTAAAGGTGTCAGAAAACTTGATATTATACGATATGATATGATATGATACAATACAACATGATACGATATGATACAATATGAAACGATACGGTATAATACGTTATGATACAATACAATATGAAACGAAATGATACAATACAATATGATACAATATGATACAATATGAAACGATATGATATAATACGTTATGATACAATACAATATGAAACGATACGATATGATACAATACAATATGATACGATATGATACGGAATGATATGATACGATACGATATGATACAATACGAAATGATACAATACAATATGATACGATTTGATACAAAACGATATGATACAATATAATATGATACAATACGATATGATACGATATGATATGATACGATACGATACAGCAAATGTGATGACGGAAACTGCATCCTTGGCAGCAGACAGTGTAACGGCCTGAGAGACTTACCTTTGTATATGATATGATACAATTGATATGATACGATATGATACGGAATGATACAATATATGATACGATACGATATGACACGATATGATACTATACAAAATGACACAATATATGTTACAATATGATACGATACGAAATGATACAATACGATATGATATGATACAAACTGATACGATATATGATACGATATGTTACAATATGATATGATATGATATGATACGATATGTTACAATATGATACGATACGATATGATATGATATGATACAAAATTATACGATATGATACAATACAATATGATACGTCTGGTTTGACATGTCACCGCGGAGATATTTGTTTTTCAATCAAGCTAGCGCTGAAAAAACACAAAAACAATCACAACAACAATCATCAGTTTATTGTTTGTGAGACGGGTCAGAGCACTGAAGCTAAGAGACAACCTCTAGCTAGCCTTATTTCAGAGATTCTTACAACTGCAGTTCCTTGAGTGGCCACTAGGGGCTGGTAGCAGAAGCCTGTGTATCCATGTCCACAACAACAGTAAACAAGTTAACAGCTTGGTTTGTGATTGGTTTTGGTCTGTGTAGCTCGTTTCTACATCCAAACAGAGTGTACAGGGAGTGAATTTGTGCATTAATCAATATAAATGTCACAAGTTTTTTATTATTACGAGCACAGATGGCTTGACTGCTGCTTCAGCTGTTTGCAAGGAGGCTACAGGTACTAACACCTTGTTGCCAAATACCACTGCACTGCATTGGAGATCTGGTGGCATCCATCTCTCATCTAGTTTAGAGCAGTTCTGGTCCTGATCTGCTGAAGATGGAAGAAATGCCCATTTAGTCCAGGACCGAAGTGGTGAATCCGAGGCATGTTGCAATTTTTTCATAAAAACAAAACTTTACTACTCCATCAGATCTTCCCCTCGCATTTATGATCCAGAAAGGAAAGACCTTCTTAATAATTCACCCAGAATGTGAGTCATGAAAAAGCCTGAACCTCTTTCTCTGTTCTCCGCCTCTCCTCAGAGACCACATGCTGTCCCCCAAAGCTCCCTCCATTCCCAGGCACCATCCAGCAGCTCCTGACCTTTCCCAACATGACGCTGCTTTAATTGCTCTAATTAAACACGATGTCATGTATTATTCAGCCATTTCCTCTTACATCACTTGGACAGAACACATACAAGAGGTACATACTCTCTCTTCACACTCCATTTAATCCACTCCAACATACGTTTGATAGTTAATGAAAGCAGCTGATATTTTTCCAAGAGGAGGAAATGTTTGCTGGGCTTTTTAACCATAATATAATCCCTCTGTACTTTCTTTTTTTCTCCCCCTCATGCTAGCAGAGGCTGACCTTTGCTTTGAGCGTCTGTGACTGAGTTTCAAAGGAAGCTGTACCATTTTCAATCAAGCACCACTTAATAAAAATGTAAATTGATTTTCTGTTGCACAAATGCAGCCTGGGATAGAATTTCAAACAGAGGCTTACACTGAGAATGTCACCAGAGATAAGCGAATGATGGAGGAGTGTGTTAAAATTAAGATAACACAATTTAAAGTGTATGTTTGGAACATATATAAAGTTTGTTTTATGTTGTCTGAGCGGCTGAAAAACGCTGAGTGTCTTGATTTAGCGGAAAAATATCCCATTTTGAGGCCAATTTGCCAGCTTTTTCTGAAGCACTTTGTCACAAAGTGCTCTCCTTTTCAGCAAAATAATGATTACATCTGTGAAAAAGTCAGGCCTTGAGGAGGACTTGACCCGGTCATGATGGTATTTAAAATATAACTGATTTAATAAGAGATGTGACAGAGGTGAGCGGGTAGGTTAAAGCACCATCATTAACCTCAAAGGCCTCGGTTTAAATATGTCTGAGCCTCTTTCTTCACAGTTTTTCTCTCTCCTATCACCTCTCACTGATGTCAGCTCTGTATCAAAGGCAAATACAGATAAGTAACAGCTTCATAACTCCAGATTATTACAGATTATGGACTTTC